TTCCGAGTGGTTTTTTTCAGTTTACTAATCTTTTAGATTAGTAAACTGAACTTTGAAATTTCAGTTCTGAAGAGGAAATTCAAACTACACTACTATCAACGTACTTAGATCATTTAGTTACAGCTTTTTTTTAATGTCGTAGCATGCTAGTTATCTGAATTTTTGTTTTCATTCCTGCTTTATTTAGAGGGATGTCTGAAAACTAATTTCATATTGTCGTAGCGAGGTCTTTTTAGGTAATGATGGTTAAGCGTAATCGTAACTTTGGCGACATATCAATAGCGGGACCCGGCATGCACACTAAAATTCATCAGGCGCTACGAGCCGCCGCTGCGCGGTGCATTAGGCCCCCCCGGTTCTCTATTCTTCATTCTCCTTTTTATTGTGTGCGACGTAAATACGCCTGGAACTAGAATACTTGCTGTTTGTGTGTGTGTGGGTCTCTAACCTCTCGCTCTACGTTCCGGTCCTCAATCGGGGCAAGTCGGCAGCGCGGTCTCACTCTGTCTGACATCAGTCCATTTTGGAAATTTGACGGGGGACGTAGTAGTAAACGCGCGCGGGAATTTTCCCTCGTTTCTTTCGGTTTGTTTATTTTTCGCGTTTTTCCGGGTGGTAGTGGTGTGGCAGCGGCGACGAAGACAGTGCCGGACGGCCCAAATGTATCTTCCGTGGATATTATTATGTGTCTGCATTTCGAGAACAGGTGTGCCCATATATTATTGACGAGAAGCCATTTTTTTACCTGGTTTCGAGACGGAAAATGTTTTTTTTACTTGCATCCTTCCCCTCCATTTAACCTTAGATCCGGATATATGATTTCAGTTTTACCGTTACAACTATCATTAATTTTAATTATTATCACTTTTCATAAAAAAATATTAACATAAGAAATGCCAATTTAATTGCCACATAGTCGTTATTCTTTGTCCACCCGGTTTTCTTACGAAGCTGACGTGTTTTCAATTTGTCGTCAAAGCCAAGTAGCAGTCATTCATATATACTCGCGTAATTTTTGGAGGTTAAAAAGTCGTTTTAAATACCTAACAGTTTGTTACAACAATATTTATTTTAAAGAATATTTTAACAAATTCTTCTCCTAGGTGAGAATTATTAAGATGTTATATTTATTTAAGTGAATATTTCTTTTTGGGAAACCCGTATGGTGTTGCAGAAGAACCTGACAATGTCAGGAACTATGCTAAAGAGGAGGAGGCTGACTTAGTTATGGTGAAATCATTGTGCTATAAAAGAAATAAATGAAAATAAAAATATTAACACGTTCACTAATATAAAATCCCTGTAGAGATATTTTCAGAAAATTTAATGTTTCAAGTATTCTTGACGGAGAAAAAAATTTACCGCTATGTTTACCCCATAATTATTATTTTATTCGCAATTGTATTTCATTGATGAATAATTATAAATCGCACATTTGAGATTTCGAAAAAATATGCACTTGTTATCAAATAAAATAAAAATCAGGCTTTTGAGTGGATAAATATAACCTCGTTTGAAAGAAAAAAAGAATTCTTCCACAAATTTTCTGCACGATTATTAACTATAAGGAATTAAAAAAAAAAACTAAAAAAGCAAGGCAGAGTGCATAGCGTCAAATCTCGTTTCCTCTCGGTTGCGCTCTCTAGCGGTCAATTTGGGAAGTTCATTTATTTACGATAATACATAATCGCTCGTCATAGGATTGAAGTCGATATTTTTCGTTGGCAACCCCCACGAACAGGATATTAATTTGCGAGTACGATAAGCACTAATCACAAACGAGACTGTTTTTCGAGCAAACGATATTCCGCTAATATTTATCCTATCGATCCGCTCGTATCCTTTCTCGTCATCGGCCTCTTATCTATAAAACACTGAGTAAGTGCCACACCACACACACTATTTGCTCGTGTTTGTCAACAGATATCCAACGATAACGGGTGCACACACATGCACAAATAACGGGCATTTTTTTATTTGTTCAGATGTCGATTTCGCGGTCACAGTGTTTTAAGCGATGGCGTTAAACCTACCGCGAAGGCACAGTTCAGGACGTAGAAGTACTGAACTGAGGTGGCTTTTACTTGATGAAAATCCATTTATCAAAATAAATAAAAACTAACAATGTACACGTTTGCACATTTGATAAAGACACGGTGTTGTCGAAACAATTGTCATGTCAAAATATATAATTTCGTGAAAATCTGAACTTTTAGTTCTTATTTATTTTGACGTAGAAGTACTGCAAATGGCATTATGATATCCAGTAATAGTTATGCAATCGGCATAGTATCTAAATGCATATACCATGAGCAACGTTCCCATATTGAAATTTTATATAAATATTACTTTTTTGGTTATTTGTAACGAATCACGGCCGATACCGCATAAATAATAAGTGCCGACACGCTACCGAGAATTTTTGTACCCCTTCTACGGTTCCGATCTCCCCATTGTTTAATGCAAATTTCCATGATTCGTATCTTAACGAGCGTTTATGTAAATTGCTCGATTTGTTTCCGTATTCCGCCGTAAATAATTAGTTAAATGCCCACCCCGGGGGTTATTATTATTATTATTATTTTTTGAGCCTCTTATTTTCGAGTAGATTAGTTTCGACCAATTACCTTAATCACATTTTACAAATAGACGCGATTTTTTTAAAAGCAGGACGGATATAGCTAGTAGAAATATGCGGATAATACAGGAACTTTGAAGCAACTATGAAAAAAAAAAAATTGAGGTCCATTCAAGATGTGCAAGTGGGAAATTTAAAATCTTCTTTTTAAGCAATGACCTTGCGACATTCGCCAAGCAACATGGCCGCTGACAGATCGTCAATGAGTTCGGTTCCGGCATTTTCACGGCTGTATTTTCTCAAAATATGCTTTTACCGTCCTATATTATCTACTGTCTATATGGCCGGACGTAGAGTTCATTTACGAGGGTACATACTTACGTTATCAGTTGTCTGTACATTTTTAACAAATGCGGAGTTTCAAAACTAGGCTGAATTAAAATTATGAACGATTGTCGTATCGGAAATATAAAAATGGCCATCTTTCGAAAGCTGTGTTTGAGCTAGGATATTATTATTTGTTAGAATAAGGGGAATTTCACTTTAAGGTGCAGGTATTTTTTCTCAATCCTATTCAAAAGTCGAAGTTTATGATTTCACTGGCGGTAACGATCGGCCTGGCGAACACTCGTCTATTAATTTATAATCGAAGACAAGGGTTCCACTTAGGGCACGGTTTAAGTCGCTTTTGAAGTAGGTATTGAGTTAAACAGATGTGTGTTACTTTTTAGAAAACTGAATTTTAGGATTTTAGTATCGTTAAGGATTCGGCAGGCATCGAAAGCCAATTTTTTCCGACGGGTTCTTTTTTACGAATTCGAGGCTTTGCTTGTTGAATTTATAACTTATCACTAATTATCTATCTTTGTTACTGTACATACTTTTTTACGTTACTTGTTTTTTTCCTAATTTGGTGAGTTTACTGAATTAAAGGGTTGTGTGTAAAAATACTGCCTTTAATTTCAACGAATCGACGTGTTGCTGAAATGCCGTCAGTACCAACGCTTTGGAAACGAAGTACTTATATCCCAACTTTCATCGGTCATAGGGGATTTTTTAACTGATTTAAACTTAATCATCAGTTGCCTCAAAATATTTTCGCTACTGATTTTAGCTAAAGTATGTTAGATAGAGAGAAACAGAGCCTCAGTCGATTATAATTCCGGTAGGGTTGTCGAATTGACCGGGCAAATTTTGTTGTGGTCAATTGACCTAAATAATTTTAAAAATATCATTAAATTTATATTTATATTTGTGCGTTACGACGCCGTCGCGTCGTTTTAGGAACCAAACGGAGTCGATATTATTATTGGGATTTCCTGAATCGCTAAATATCGGTTTCGGAAATTAGGTAATAGGTAAATTGGACATCACAAACGAATAATAATTTCTTATAAAATGCATATTATTATTAAATAATGATAAATAACATTCTCCCGGTCGATTAAGAAATGGTCAAATGACATTCACTTGACCACGGTCAATTATAATTGTGTAGAAACAATATAATATCGAACACATTTATAAACCTTTTCAGACATTTATAAATGATTAGTACTTAATTGGGTACTTTAGAGTAGGGAGTAGAAAAAATATGTTAAATCACAAAACTTGGAGTTATAACATTGACCCATGTACATGAGTTGAGAAAAATTATAAATCGCGTTTTTTTTGGCATAAAATTCAAATCTGCAATTACCACCAGCAAGTATTTTTTGTTTTTGATCAATTCTTGAATTTTGAACACCTGGTATGGTCGTTGTACCCAAATGCTTTTGGGAAATCCGTAGGTTATTAGAACAAAATTGCATGGGCGACGTTAGGCATTCGTTCATGTTCGCCTCCGTTTTTTTATTTGGGCGCAATTGTGCACAAAGATACACGCAAGACCCGAATTCCTTCTGCGAAGTCCCGCGACTCCGGATTTATGACGTTAGTACGTGCATACGTCGCGTTATTGCCTCGCGTATTAATATGCGTCTCTTATTAACTTGTTCAACGCGTGGAACTGTTTCTTGTACAGCGAACGGATGCAAAATTGCGGGTCGTCGTCGCTGGTACACGCCAGCAGACGGCGGAGGGGCGTCGGTTTCACTAAAGATATACCGTGTTTGGATTCGGTTATGGAATAGGAGCGAACGCGATAAAACGGACATTAAGTCAGTTTCAAACCCAAATCGAACTGATTGCGGCGCAATATTTGGAAAAATCGAAGTCCGCTTGGAAAATATTATCCGCAACTATAGCAAAAACATTGACATTTCCATACTTTTCAAACGATTTTTGAAAGTTTTCGGATTTATTACGAAAAAAACAAAAAGTCGTTTTCGAATTAGAGCACCAGTCTATCGTGTAGAATCAAGATATTCATTAAATAATGTTACATTTTAATTTAAATTAAAATCGTCGTGTTATTTTTCAGTGGCGTAGCCGTCCTCAGTTGCACCGACTGCAGCGGCAGCAGTACTGCCTCGAGCGACATCACCGACCCCGGATCGCCGTTCAGTACCGCCTCAAGCCACTCCGAAGATTCCGGTACCGCCCCGCATAAGCCACCCGCGAACAAAATGCCGCCCGCGCAGGCCGCCCCCCACCCGCCCTGGCACTGGACCGTTGCGGCGGACGAGGCCTCGCCGCCGGCCCCGAAGAGACCGCTCCCTGACAAAACCGTATTCGCCAAACGTCTTAAGTCCGCGGAGGAACCGCCCCCCATCAATACCCCGGACCGCCACCGTCACGTGGTATCAGCCAAACTATTCGTCGAAAAGAAACGGGTCATTCATTTGACTAAAGGGGGCGTCCTCGATTCTAGTCTCACCAATAATAATAATAATAATAATAGGGTAAGTCGCGATAATAAAAACTATTAGACAGACATTGAAAAAATACTTGCATATAATTGATATTAGTTTAGATGTAAGACTTGGACCCGGACAAACCATGGTATTTATTTCTAAATCAAAGGGAAGGTCCATGAGTTTCGTTTCTTTATCGAAATGTCAGGAAGTTTTAATTATTTATTAGTCAATTATTGAAAAACTGAATTTTCTTTTAAAAACGATACGATGATTTTCAGTTTACTGCCACTGAGCTTGTAGAATATAAATATAACACCACACACTTTCTAACGACGCCTAAAGTATGTGGACGTTACAAATTTGCTCTATCACAGCGGTCGGTGTCTTGGTTCCAGCAGAAGGTGGAGCCAATCAACAAGATGCAACAGGGCAAGATTACCGAATACTTCAAGACCCAGGCGAAAGTGAATGGCGTCAAGAAGGAGCTGCCGCTCAAAAGCAAAACGGCCGGCGGCAAATTCGTCGCGTTGATCAACAAACAGACGGAATTTAAGCGTCACCACCAACCGTCGCAGGCTATCAATCAAAAGAAAGCTGCGCAGCCCGAAACAAAGCCGAGAAAGTTCGCGCAGACGGTCCCTCGGAAAATACTTCCCGCACCCAGCAAAGTCCCCGAGAGCATCGCCCAGTTGGGCGGCATGCATCACCACCACCACCACCACCCGTTCGCTCCGACGGTGACCTTGACCGCGGTCAGTTTTCCGCCTAATTTGGCGTATCTGCATACCAAGAGTCCGAAACCGCCCGACAATAACATATTCGTGCCCCAAGTGAGCACCATCCCGTTGATCAACCGTAATCCTTGCCTGAACGTGATCCAACACCACCACCCCAACCACCAGACTATACCGAAACTGACTGCGTTGAATAGTTTCAACTGCGTCAAATTAAATGCGACAGTAGTGCCTATCGTGAAGTTAAACGCGTTGCCTTCAAGATTAAACGGGTCACCGGGGAATATAGCCTTGAGCGTGGACACTGCCGTACCGACAGTCCTATCGGCCAGGTCCAAGCCAGCGGAGGGTCACTGCGCCGCGACGCCGGCTGTAGTGTCATCTCCATCCGTTTTTATACCAAAGCAATACAGCGGCAGCGCCGCGGTCAGCGTAACAGATAGTGGGGGCGGGACTCACCACCAGCAGCAGCAGTGCAGGAACGAGAAGACGAAGACCGTTGAACCATACAGGACGGCGGAATGTCAGACGCAGCCGCAGTCACCCGTGGAAAAGGTACGCCCTTACTTCACCATTTCCTTTTCCTCCTCAAGGGATCTGGTTAAAGAATGTACAAGCCTAAAATTAATGGCTTTTATGTTTGGATTAATTTGGAGTGGATTATTTGCCTGACCACGTAGATGATCATTTGACCTCTATCCATGATGTTTTAAGCCAACCTCTAAGTTTTTGTATTACATTTAAACTTGTTTCTTCATCTACGACCTGTTCTAAAACTATATCTGGAGAGGTCATTTGCCCCAGGACGGGCCAGCAACTTTTCTTCTTTTTTTGGGCGTACATAGTTTTGTCACTGCTCTTATCAAAGGACAGTCTTAAGTGTCCTAACATCTACAAATGACTTTCATTCATTCATACACCTTTCCTTCAGAGGGCTCCAAATACTTCAGACTTTAAGGTTCCTTGCTGTTGGTAAAATCAGTCTCAAAATCTCGTTTATGTACCGAGGGATGAGCTCGCCTTATTTCGTTCACAAATGGAATTCCTCCCCTTGCAGGTGGACGAGAGGGTCGATCAAACACCATCACCCACCGATTCCTCGGACAGCGGCGTGTCGAGCAAAGGGAGCAGTCTCGAGGTGTGCGTTAGCGACGATCCCGCCCCGGTAGAGTCGCAAAAATCGCCGATTTTATCGCAACCCAAGACGATCCGGTTTCCGCCCGTCAAGCGCGAGTCCAAGAGCCAGAAAGACGATGGTAAGGATGTGACGAAAAGCTCACCTCAGTCCAACGACGGTAGGTGCAGATGGGACGGTTGCGCGGCGCAGTTCGACACCAGCGGGGCCTTATTGGAACACCTACAGGTAATAGATAACATCGAAGCCGCTCAGAAATTATTTTTAAGATCTTTGGATTCGAAGGCGCATATCTATAATGGATATCAGATCAACTACACTATTATAACTAAGGCCTCCAATAATTATACTCTTCAAACCAGAAGATTTAGTTTTTCTCGTTAAGATACTGAATGGTTATTATTATTGTCCAGCTCTTTTCCATAGCATACGATTTAACGCATATTACAGAAGTTCTGATAACTCAATGTTCCGCATACCTTACTATTGCGCAAATTATGGCGTTTAATCACCTCTTAGTAGAATGCTGAAAGCTGTCTGTCTAAAGCTTGATCCTTTTGTCAGAAGCCTCCGCTCATTTCGTTCTGATGTGTTCCGTTTGAGTGCTTCCACTTCAATTCTATATATTGTTCTTGTTTGGTTGTAGCTGTTTTATACTGCTGTTTTTCTCTCTATTTGCCTTTATGTAAAAGTTTTGTAAAATTATTAAGCCATACATAAATAAATAAATAAATAAATAAAATGGTCCTTCGAACCGGATAGCGGACGCGGCGCTCGAGGAAATTTTCGATAGTTAACTTACACCGTCTTTTTCCTTCCCCCAAGGTTAAACATGTGATATCGCAATCTCAACCAAATCAGGAGCACTTCGTTTGTCTATGGAGGGGATGCAAGGTGCACGGACGGACTTCATGTTCGAGATCGTGGTTGGAGAGGCACGTCCTGGCTCACGCGGGAACAAAACCGTTTCGGTGTATCGTCGACGGATGCGGTCAAAGGTTCAATTCGCAGGTAAGACGGCGTGCGCACGTTCGTTTTTCGGGACACCCTGGGTGACGGGTCTGATGGTTTTCAGCTGATGCTCGAGCGTCACGTGAACGGGCACTTCAACAGCGACGGTAGCCAGAGCGGAACTGCCAAGAAGTCGGTAGAGAACGGCGACAAGGTCAAGTTGTTTAAGAGGAACGGCCGCATTATAAGGTTTAGGAGGCAGCCGTGGTCAGGTAATATTTCGATCCTTTTCGACACCAATCGATTCTGCGCAGTGAATGACAGCCGTCGACGGCGCGCACATTGTAGAGTGTTTCTCACGGTCTAGGCGAAGTAGTGCGTTTTCCCTCTATTCCTCTACGCCATCTTTGACTAATTTGCCGTTTCATAACGCGCTTCAAACAAGGGGGAAATTATGGAGGCGCATTGTTTATTTGCCTGTGAGACACACTACCTAATCAGTCGCATCTGTGGGGCAACTGATCACAACGCAATAAGTCTATTTTCGACGACTTCCTGGTAAAATTATTTATATCACCAGAAAATATCTTTAAAATCGGAAAACCAAGCGAGATCTTTTCACGAAAAACACTATCAACTAACCAAAACCAAACTCATAGCAATTAAACACGGTAAATAAGTCTGTCAGAATTTTACAGTCGCAGGAAAAAAACCAAACAGCAGAAATAAGGATACAGGAATACTCTATCCGATGTAGCCTGAGATCTGGAATTAGGAAGGGTCAGAGATCCAGAGCTCGGGCTTCCTGGTCCGGTTTCCATAAAATTTTCCTCCATCTTGCGGCTATTATTATGTAGACCCCTCTTTGATTTGCTCAGATGTTGAAGAACACAGGGCTTCAAAATTGGAGATGGAAAGATCCAGCTCAGGTTGTAATCCCAAATCCACGAAATTCGCAGAGACGCATGAGCCGGTACCACTGCAGGGATATGGGTACGCCGAAGTAGACCTGAGTAAAGCCCGATACAGTTTTTTTCTCATAAAAGGCTGGAAGCTTTGAGACGAAATTTGGTTTAGTCGTTTTAGATTGAAAATTGGACGCCTTGCCTTTGGAACATTTTCTTTAATATGTTCGACTTCGACGTAGCTTTTATCTCCAGATCCATCCTTGGGTTGGTCTGGAATCTTTTGCAAACAAACTAACCGTACAAGACGAGAACACACAACAAAAAGAATAGCCAAGCCTCGAATTTTCTTCGTAGCAATCGATGTTTTGTAGTAATAGTAATAATCATATAAGTTGACTTGTTCCACGGGTTTCCCGCTGGAATCGATAGCGACTCTGTCTGATTTTAGGAGAAATGTGATATTTGCGCGCAAGATCCAATAGTTCGGTTCTTTTCCCGCAAACAAGTTGCAGAATATCATCTGATATAGTATGAAACTCTGACTGAGCTTCAGCAAACATGACATTAAAGATGATTCGAAATAATTTCCAAAACACCCTTCTGAAAACATTGGCTCATTTCGCTAAAAAATCCGAATAAGGAGTACTTTGCGAATTTAAACCATGACTAGACGGTAACTCAGAGAAGACTGGAAATTCTTGTAACTTCTTTTGAACTTCCTACCTTTGGCTTTGAGCCTTAATGCTTAGTAACAAGTGAAAAGTCAAAAATATGTTTTGAACCCGAAGAAACGGATGGAGGATTGAAATTTGGAGGCTTCCGGAGCGATACACTCTGCTTCCCCATGCGCACCAAAATTCAAATTCTGATTTTCTCCAAACTCGTTACAGCCTTTTTCTCCTCTTCTACAAATTCATTAGAAACATCCTCCCACATTTTGGAATTTAGGCTCTAAAATCTGGATACTTTGGATTGCCTTTCAGAACTTTTCTCTGCAGATCAGCAAAGTGAAAATCAGCATCCTTCCTAGATAAAAGATGAAGTTTTAAGATTCCATTAGACTTGGCTATTTCAGATTCCCCTATTTGCAATGCAAAAGCTGGGGGACTTAGGATGAGACCTTCGCAAAAATTCCAATGTAGCGTTTTCCATGTATAATTTCGATATTGCTTTTCTAAGGGGTGAAAAGTTTGCAATTCACACAGAAGTTCCTTGAAATATTTTAGCCATTCTGGGATGTTCTACTTGGCAAGTTTCTCAAGATATTGTAAAATAAAGTATTTGGAGCAATCTGTAACAACGCAGATAAAACAGATAAACTACAAAATGTTAAGCGAATTTCAGCGCACGAACGCAGCTCTGTATTGTACGAAGTTGAGCCGCCGGACTCCAGACTCCAGGCAGATTTTGTTGCTAACAAAAGAAAAGGAGCGAATAAATTTTCGAAGTCATATGCTATATACAAAATCAATTGCACATATGAGAGAGGAACGCTACTAAATCATGCTGATCAAAGAAACATCAACGTACCTTATAACTGAAAAACAAGATAAACTGAAAAAAAGGAAGGGAAAAGGAGAAAAAACGCTTAAGCAAGGACGGAAAGAAGAAGTTAATCGTACATGGGCCAAACAGAGGCACACACTCAAAATATATAGTTAGCTTCTCGAGTTTGTTGACGTTAAACATTTGCAGAGCTTCTAAGAGACCTCACAAGAAAGGAGTTACATGGCAAGTATTGAAGTGCAGTGCCGACTTACTTCATAAGGAGCAAAGAACCAAATATTTGGATGAGAGTATCAAGATGATATGAAAACACTAAAAGAACTTTGAACTTCCATTGTCTTATTTGAAGCGTTTCAGATAAATGGATCACTGTCTGTTAAGAAATCCAAACTGTCTGAATTTTTGTGTATTTATGTTGAATAAGGATAAAAGGAGCTCAAAAAAGAGGGTGGTGAAAATAACATAAAATAGAGGGAAGAGCAGAATTACAATATCTAGAAGAAGTTTGGGAGTTACAGATTCCGTAAATAATGTAAAACTATATAAAAACTGGCAATCTGATAAAAAAAAAGTTGTAGGTACTCAAAACGTTTTTTTTTTTCAATCCCGTTCAATGCAATTTAATGCGCCTTGGCCAGTTGCCTCGTGAACTGTCAGTCGCTGCGCTCACGTTTCTTTTTAGTAAAAAAAAAACAGGATTAATATAAAGTGTTGAACTTCAAACAGTGGTCCGTAAAATGCGTACTTTTCTAACGAAAAACTAGGACGATACTTTTAATTATGCGTGCTGTGTGCTATTTGGACACATAAACATTAAACTTACACATGTAATTCATATTGTCGGTATAACAAAATGTTAATTTTAGGGAGTCGCCGGTCTTAGGGGTGAAAGGAATTTTTTAGAGTAGAATTTTCATGCACTAAACGTTCGATTAGTCAGTTAGGTCCTCTCACCTCTGCGGTCCGTCGTGTAATGAACTTTTTCCAATCGCAAGGGGCAAAACAGTATTATAAGCAAGAAATTAATACATTCAGATTCAGTCGAAAAAAAAATTATCCGACCCCTGTATCACGATGAATTCGATTTGTTGCTTGCATCACTTTTTGGCAGTCCTCAGACCCTAATTACTATATAAAGCCAGCTGCGTGGGGTAATTTTTAAGCTATAATATAATATACATTAACTCACCCTCTGTGATGGATGTAAACAATAAACATCTTAAATCTATATAATATATTATAGTGAACCGTTTGAATCTGGCTTTCATACTGTAATATTCGATTATCTAATTGGAAAAGGCTCATGGCCGTCAACCAAACGTCTAATGTTCCGTTTAACCTTTTTAGCGCGGATGTTCGATTTCATCGATTCCGGGATCATGGAGGGCCTCCAGCACAAACTGCTGAGCATGACGCAGACGAGGACGACGGGCAAAGTCGTTTCCGCCGGTGACACGGTCGACCTGCACAGTCAGATTTTGGCCAGAAGGACAGAATCCGACGGAACCGTCAAATTATTGATCAGGTGGCATCCACGCGACGTGTGAGTTATTTCGGTTTTGAAAAAAATAAGATACGTCGATCGCCATTTACATTGTCGAATATAAAATCGTAACTCACTTGAAAATACGTTATTCTTATAAATTACAGAAAAAAAGTGTAAATAAATCCTTTCGCAAGTGACACAAGGTGGTTGCACCAACGCGGAGGTCGTTAATGAGCGTTTTGACATTAAAAAAAAAAAAAAACGGGGATCGATGTTAGATGGAGGGAATAACAGGGTCTATATATAATGACGCCGCACTTTGTTTGGACAGGGTCTCCGATGAATGGGTGCCGGAAAAAGAGTACAAATCGAGCAGGCCGCTGCCGATCCCGAGGCTCAGCCCTGCGTCAAAGGAGGCGCTGGCGCCGGCGCTGTTTCCCAACGACGTGACGCGGCCGCCGCGCAAACACCATAGGAAACCTGTCAAAATGACGACAACGTGATAATTAGCTCTGTCGATACATAAGCGATTTTCTTTTTATAAACTTGTAAATGTAAATAGGTAAAAATTAATGGGTCGAGCCGTTGTCGACCCGTTCAGCTACCGTGGTCGCTTTTGACCACAGTGATTAGTTAAATGGTCAAATTGAACTCTGACATGGAATAATATAATAATATAGCGAACCGTGAGCGTTCGTCACAGAACACAGAAATTGGTTAGGAACAGCGTTAGCGTAGAAAATGGTAATGGGAGACGACTTCGGCGTTTTAGGCGCCGCTTCAGTAGAGATCGGAACTGGCAAAGTTGTGATGCAGCTGTCTCTTCACCAAAAGCTTGAGTTAGAGTTTAAAATTGGTAACCACAGCTTGTAGTTCTCACATTCATCTGCTTAGCGAACAACTTCCAACTAGGACATTTTTTTTTCCGTATCCAATGGTACGTCATTTCAGAGCTCCCGAGATTCGTGTTATCATCTGTACGAAAAATAGTGGCGTATATTTGCAAAATTTCAACAAACCGCTTGGCAAGCAAATAGTTTGATCGACAAATCGATGACTTTTTTTGTTGTTCAGTAATTATAGTTTTAACAGTGTGTTTATTGCCGTAATGAAGAACTTCGAAATATTTCTAATTAAGCGAAATTGACCATTTCTAGATGCGGGTGGACATAGAGCAGCAGCCCTTGTTCATTCTGCTTCCCAAATAGATTTTTTTTTTGGAAAGCGAAAGGATGGCGATAATAGTCATAACAGTCGTAATATTTCCAATACAATGGCAAGGAAAGTTTACATTGTTACAATAGAAGGGAAAGCAGTTACTATACTACTTTGACGGAGGAACAGTAAAGCGTAACGTTGCCATTTCTACCGCACTCTGCGGCGCCTGCATGGCGTCTTCCCTTACAATTTTCTATTTTAAGCTCGCATAGTGGAGAATTGTTTCCGCTCAAGGCCACGGAATATGCAAAGGGCACTCGAACGATGTCTTTTAGAACAGTCCGCCGAGGTATGTTGTAAAAAGAAACAACCGCGTTAAGGATGAAACGGCGAGCGTTTCGCCGCACTAGGCTGTATGTACATTGTAATTGAGAGGTTTCCTTTTTCGTAAGTTAAGCAAAGAACGGGAAATGGCCTGAAATTGGGTTCTTCAGGATGGTTTTGACCGTTTAAGCAACCAGCGTACCGCCACTGCCATTATTCTGGTTAATAATAATAATAATTATAATATCGAAATCGTTCTAGTTTAGGTAGGGAAAATAATTTAGCGCGCATGCGTAGTTTCTTTTCTTCGGTTTTCGTTTGGTCGCGACAAAAACCGTATTTTAATTTTAATTTAGTTGATTTTTTAACATTCCCTATTTTGTATATTTTTTTCTACAACGTGTGACAAAAAATAAAAAAATTCAGTTGACTTAACACTGCCATTCAAGAGCTGCCGACAAGACGTTTAGTGTGATTTTGATTAGGACAAACGCCATGACATTTTTTTTCTGATCCTTTCGTTACGAGCAAAACAGACATGGACTCGCGGTGTTCAGCAAACAATAATGTTAAACGATGCCGATCAAAACCAAAAGTCAAAAAGAAAAAGATCAAAATCGTTTTTGATCGAGAGGGGATCTTACACGCACAAATTTTGACAAAATTTATAACGCCACAGGTTAATTTTTGGGTTTCAAAGTTACCAATAGATAAAAGATACAGATTTTTTAAATTTCGCATTTGGTTGGCATTGATAGTGCCATTTATATTACCAATTTGTTGGCGTGTGTTTATTTTTTACCTGAACAATAGGTTTTGGCAAAAAGTGTCCGTGTAAAACAGGACTTAGCGTTTTCAAATCAAATTTATGGCAAAACTCAATCAATATATACGAATGTGTTCCGTTACGATGCCAACCTTTATTTTCGTCGTAACAGTTTTTTAAAAATTGATCTCAAAAAGTGTTCGTTCTCTTTTTTTTTTAATTAGTTAATTTGAAGATTCCGTATTTGTCTTGTTCTTTTTTTGAAATCATGACGAATATGAAATTTTCACCGGCAATCCCAAAATGTCTGGCATAAAATGGGGGAAGATGGAGAATAAATCTTCCAGCCATTTTAAAACGTCCGATTTGGATTCGACATGGTGGGATTTGCAGTGAGCCCGCATCTTTTTTTTTTATTGCAAAAAAGACGCAGGACACGCATGTAGTACTTAAAAATGTGGTGCATTTACCTTTTGTTCGTTTTACGATTTCATTGTATAAATTATTTGCTCACGATTTATTTTTTCGGAACAAAAAGCGCGGCGCACGCGCACTGACTGAAATTTTTATATACACCGTACAATTTTCGTTTTAATGTGTTTTAGCGTAGAGACTGATTTTTTTAAAACTATAAATGCAATGGTAACAAAGGTTCGTCTCGGCGGCGAGGGAACCGGGATAAAAGTTAGCAAACATAGATAGACAGGGACGGTCCAAGTTTTGGTTGAAAATTAGAAAAATATATATTAAATTAATTCCCAACCTTAAACGAAACGTTTTTGTTTTACAGAAACTACATATTCTCATTATTTAATTTTTAATATAAAGAGTGGTAGACCAAGCACTGCAATTTTTTGAAAATTTCTACTAAAAACTAAGAAGCTTGGAACAATTTGCGGATTTTGATTTCTTTACCGTTTAATTATAAAATTTTGCATTTTGAACCGTTTTTTTTTACATGTGACAGCGATTTTTAAAAAATTCCGTATATCGCTTTTAGAATGTGTCTCGTGAATTGAAGGCAGAGCCCTCCTGATGAGGTTTTGGTACAAACTGTTTCAAAAATGGTGAAGATATCAAAAATACTCCAAAAACTGGTGTGTTCATAACATGTGGGCCATCCCTGTCGAAAATTGTATTAAATTCGGCCACCCTCGCGGCGCGACGCCCCCCATCAGCCAACAATTCGGTTGCTATTAGTTGTATACTAATAATTTAATTTAATTACTGTAAATAAATGGCAATATTTATTAAGGTTTGCTGTAACTACTAATTAACATACGGGGATCCCCGGGATCCGGACGTATAGTCCGTCGTCCGTCCGGATGGACTTGTAGCAACCACACCCTCACACCCCCCACTCTCCCGCTATATCGAACAAAGTGACGACCCCCGAACCAACTTTTTTGTAACATAGTTTAGTCGTTTCGAAATTATATATAGTTGCGTATCGTAGAGACGATATTAAACCGTAATTGAGGAAAAAGAAAGTAACTTTTGTACACGAAAAAATATTCTTCTACGGCATTGCATTTAGACGAGAAACCTGATTTTTATTATTTATATTTTTTTTGGAAATTAAGACTGTTCTGCTAAAAGAAAAATACCTGGAAAGTACCGTATATATAATAATTATATATCATAAATTTAGGGAAATTTTATTATCTGCTAGTTGCGTTTATTGTGTACGAACAATATATTTGCTGTGTTCATATTATTTTAATGTGTGTTTTAACTCAAATTCGGAGTCGGCAAGGTTTGCGACAAAAAGTTGAAACTATTTGCTCACAATTTTATTGAGTGTTAAGTGTGACTGTGGCAAAGTCGTTAGATACCTAAACCTGAAAAAATTATCAAAAAATTTAACGCTTCTAGACGATTTTGTGTGAGCGTTTTAACTTTTTATGGCAAAAATTTTAACAATAATTCGATTCGATTATCTGATAATGGTGTAAGAAAAGTTCCCTGCGTGCGTTTGTCTGTAACAACATTTAGTTTGAGTAACGTACCATCGTGTATCTCAAGCTTTTGACCTTGAACTTCAACGAGAAGAATCTGAGCGATAAGGCATATTGTTTTGCTCAATTATTTAGACTTTTTTTTTACTTTATTTTCCGTTTCAAAAGTCCAGTCGCGGCCCTCGCCGAGCTCCTTTGTACAAATTATTGATTTTTACGATAATAATTGGAGATTGTTCAAAACAGAATGTTAGCTTCAAAGGTTTAACTGAATGTTAAATAGGGTTGTAGGAAAATTTCACCTCGGATCATGTCCCCACCATCATGCGGGGGCGTGGCGCGGAGCGCAAAGTTTGTTCGACTTTAATTCTAAGTGTTAGTGGATGATTATAGAGTATTTTAAAGAATCACGAGTTGTAAAAAAAACGCTTGAAGTTGGATGTGTAAACCGTTTTATCGCGATTAAAGAAAAATTTATCAAAAAAAAAACACTGACCACCCGATGTCGTATGATTTTTTTTCACGCGCAAAAAAAATTTAAACTTCTATCCCAATTGGTGTAATTATATATATATTTATTACAAATTTGTTAGCGGTTATCGATATAGGAGCTTTTAAGTTCGGTGACGACGTCCCGGACTGGTTTGACTATTTTAGGATCGTAGGTTTTAAAATAACTCGTCGAAAAGTGGGAAAAATGAAACAATTTCCAATCTGTACATAATTTATTCGCTAGTTTTTATTACTTTAGTATCGATGTCATGAATTCAACGTTATTTTTTCTTTCTAATTGTTTTCGATTTGGTTAGAATATTAAACAAATTCTACCTCACTGTCTATAATTAGGTTTTATTACACGCGCTAATTTGCAATATAAATCGCATCTCCGCTTCAAAGAAAAGAATTACCTTACCGCGTTTGTTTTTCCCTAGGTAACGAGTGACCTTTTTTTTTCTTTAATTCTTCGCTCCCCCCATTTCGATTTTTTTTTGGGCGCCGATGAATTTATATTATCTGTTCGAATCTGAAGACTGTGGTGCAGTGAGGTCCCTTATTAGTTTTTTTTGTTTATATATTAACTATCTGTTTAATCAATTCGAACGAACACCTAACTGCATTTTATTGTGATTCGGCAGAACAACTTTTCAAGTTACTTTCGAATTGTATCTTAAGAAAATTTAAATAAATTTGTGTAAATAATTCAATGTAGGCGTTTTATTTCACCATTTATAACATTATATTAAAAACCAATTTATGTAGATAAATTTTATCCTCATTTTTGTGTGTTATGTAAGTTTTAAATCAAAGTGTTAATTCGTAATTTGGGCTCCCAACTCTTTAATTTGACACCCAAAATATGCCTGAAGTCACTCCTGACGCCGTTTACTGTAAAATCTTTGTACTTAAGAACTTTTGTTATTATAAAATATTATTCCTATGGTAGTTCAAAGGAATAAACGAAAAAATACAAGAAATTGTTAATTAGGAATAGTTAGCTGTATCCGTACTTACATCCGATTTTGATGAAACGTGTTTTAAAAAACATTTAAAGTGCCACTAAAATTTGGGGCAACTTTATTAGTGTGTGATGTAACAAGTGTGGTAAACAGCATTTGAGCTTGGAGTTCATTTGGCACTATCGGAGCGAGTTCTTAATAAACCAGTGACTTAAAAAGGTTACCAAACCATACCATACTTTCTCTACGACCCTTTTTTGGGTACATTTTTGCAAAACAACACGAATACATTCACTGACATGACCGTCAGAATTGACAAACGTCAAAATTCAAGCCGTGCGGTAAAATCTCCGAAAACAAACGATTGCTTCCAAACCTGTGGGGTAAAATCCCGGAAATGTCCAAATTGCTCGGATCTCTGAGACAAAAGACTCACGTGATAAAGTGACGCTTCCCGCACTCTAGATCGGTGTATAATTGGGTATTTTACAGTACAAAAAGTTAATTTTCTTGCGAACTGCTTTTTTTGCTGCATTTGTTATATATATTTGTTATATATATATATATATATATATATATATATATATATATATATATATATATATATATATAACAACAATATTATTAGGTATCTATCTAAGTCAATGCCTAACTTCTCTGCCTCTTGGTTTTTATCCGTCTTTATTTTAGTTATTAAATTAAATACGGAATTGAATTGTTAATAAGTTTGTCAGATTGCAAGAGGCCTCCACGCACCTCCGTCCTTGGATGTTGTGTAACACATTTTTAAGGAAATATAGTCTAATATTGATCAAGCACAAATTAAACGCCTGGTTCAAATTATGAGTCTTCGGTTTCAATCAATCAATGTAAGTGGTGGAAGAGAAAGTAAACCCCCGATACGGACTTTTTATTTGTTTAATGTTTATGATTTTGTGTCAATTGTCACCTGTAATTGCCATTAAATTATGTTCCGTTCAGTTATTAAATAGATAAAGGAGTGAATACAGAACGAAATACTGAGAAAAGATCGTGCTGTGTATTGATTAGACATACCCCTAATAGTATTGACGGAAATTCATACAGAATGTGACACTCTGTACAAACCAAAAATTTAAATATAGGTGTTTTTTGTAACATCGTTTCTGAAGACAATTAAGAAAAATCTTAGTGTTGTAGTTTTCATGTGCAGTGTATATAGTTTGTAGGTTTCCAATTCAAGCCACTTTTCATAAGAAACGTTTCGATAAATTTGCGAGGCAAAGGTTAGGGCACATAAACTAAACGTTACGACACACTGTATTTTTGAAATGACATGTCTAACGTCCGATTCATTCCGATTAATGAATAATAACCTAATCGCATGTGGCGAGAAGCCTGGCTAAGTAATTCGTTTCCGAATGGGACGAATTTATCATCTTAGTAAGCACTTAAAACGGATTTAAAATACCCAACGCAACGGATTTCTCACGGAACCCGAAGGGAATTTACATTTCGCCGTGTTATGGGTATTTTTCCGCATACCTACGTTGACGTATCAGCGAAATGGGTTTTGCGTCGACGATGTGAACAACACGAAAACATCGTAAAAATGTTGAATATTTTCGTCGACGTCTGCGTTTTTGAGCCTATATCGAATTCCGAATTTTTTCCATAGGCGTGTGGCCAGTAAAAAAAAATACTTGGCCGGATCTGTTGCGTGCATCCCATTCATAAAGCTGCTAGTTAATTCATCGCTTAACTACGATTAAATTGGGTGCAGTATCCCTGCACTTTGAGCCATTTTCTTTCTAAACAGTTATATCCGCACACATTTTTGGCTAAACGTGCCGCATCCAAAATTATTGACGATTTGTCAGCGGCAATGTTTGTTGTTTAATGCCGCAAGGTCATTGGTGAAAAACGAGAATACAAATTTCGTACATGTGCATGTGAAACGGAACTTTTTATTTATTTTTTCATACTTCATAAATTCCTGTATTATCATTTAGGCAGTTCCTCTATATCTCTAGTAGCTACTGTAACCATATAGCTATATGGTTCCATTTTTGCTGGTTTTACGACGCATAGCCGCTGTTTATAAAATTAGCGTGTTGCAGATTTGTAGTTTTGTTGTGTTTGTTGTCCAGTTCTGGGTTTTTAACCTAGGATCCAGCGAAGAAGTTAGTTTTCTCTCACAAATTTAGATATGTAAATTAAACATTTTTTTAATGTGGCCTTTTGTCCGTAATCCTAATATATTGTCACAATATCTTTTTTTATTAATCATTTCGTAATTAGTAATAGAATGGCTTCTATGGCTCATGACAATATGGCAATTATGAGAAGTTGAATGTAATAGGTAATGTATTATTTTGAAGAGAGAAATTAAAATGAAATGTCATGATTTTCTGACAATTTAAGTATATTAGTAAGAGGACATATTTTTTCCATGGATAACTCGTAAAAAAGATTAAAATTAAAGAAAAATAAATATGCTACATATTTTTGAAAAGCTCAGACGAGTTTTCATCTTTTCGTCTGTGCTATCTCTCTCTCATTTCATAAAAAACACACCCGCAACACGCTAGCTTCATTTGTAAGGTAGATGCACCGCAAAACCATAAAAAATGGTGCACACTGAACAGGTTCGACCAAATTAAGTGCTTTTAAAGGAAAACTCCCTGTCTTTGAGTCATAGAGTGCATTTCAGAAACGTACATTTAAAAAAATAATTTGTAATCTTGCTGTGGAAATATTCCAAAGCACTTTGCTAGGCTAGGTAGAACTTTACAATGGGTAGTTTCTTCTCAAATGGCCACTGAGAATTAGGTTGGCTTTGATTTATTATATCCCATTTATTTGAAAGACTTAACACATTAACCGTCAAAATCGTGCTTTCTTCTGTAAGGCTGCGGTTTAAAATTTTTGGAGTAGAATGTTATTCTATTTTCAATGTCTCAGAAATAGACATGGTACCCATTTAAAAAATTGATATTTTTTAATAACTATTACACACTTTGATTTGAAATTTAATCCTAACGAATATGAAAAAAATCTTTTATTAACAATTTAATGATATTCGGTGAATGCGCCGGGCGGAAAGAATCGGGTCGAAATTTGTCCGGTATTCCAGGCATCAACTTAAATAATTCACGGTTCCAACACATTAATTTAAGAGATGCAACGTCGATTGGACTGGCGAAAATGCGCTTTATTGGTGACGCGCGTCGCTGTTGTCATCAATGATTTACCGTAATTGCGACACAACACGCCGATCGGTTAATAACCTGTGGTGACGTGGGAGTAATCGCCGAAAATTAACGATTTTTATGGAATAGTGGTAATCATTGCGGGGAAAATTTCATATCAAGAACGGAATTTTTATTTTTGACAGCTCAAATGAAACGAAGAAAAAACGAAAAGAAAATTGAGGTCTGAACTCTAATTGACATTCGACTTTTGAATAGATTTCTTTTTACGAAAATGAGAATTTTCTTTTCGCTCGATTTCCGAGATACCTGTTTCGGCACTTTTTGAAATCTCTACGATTTTTTGATAGATCGCAGATGGAAAAGTGTTAAGGCTAACTCGAATTTTCGGAGTACGACTTAATAACTTTGGATTTTCAACTTGACACTAACTTACAATTCAAAAAACACGTTACAAACTGCCTATTGAACGCTCATCTGTCATTAAAAATATTGTATCCGCATGAACATTTATTTTACATTTCAATTAAGTGATTCTCTCGTACTAAGCTAATAAAACCTGAATTTACAAAACAAAGAAAAAAAAAGGATCTTATTGTTATAAATTAAAATCGCCAAATTGGAAGTAACTTACATTCCGTTGTTTCTTTCACAATGTTCTGTTATAACTAAAGATGTTCATACTTTATTTTTTTTAGTATTTTTAGTTTACAGGACATGAGTTTTTGAAACCTATTTAATAACATCCCAGGTGTACCAAAATATCGGATAGTTCATTCATTGGACTGATTGTACTCGATGAACTAGTTATATAATTTAACTAAACTATAAGGTTGTTCGGAAAGTCATTTCGTTTTTTCCCGTCAGAGGACTTAATTACGTTTTTTCGAAACCAACTTCACACTTAAACCATTATATGTCTTGAGAGCTGATATTGCAAGGCTTGTGTGTGAAAAAGTTCTATTAATTCTACGCAGTAGTTTTTGGTTGGTGCCCTTTTAAATATGGAGAGCAATAAGCAGCATTTTCGTCATATTTTACTTTTTTACTTCAGAAAGGGTAAAAATGCTGTATATATATATATATATATATATATATATATATATATATATATATATATATATATATATATATATATATATATATATATATATATATATATATATATATATATATATATATATATATATATATATATATATATATATATATATATATATATATATATATATATATATATATATATATATATATATATATATATATATATATATATATATATATATATATATATATATATATATATATATACATAATATGCGTTCGAAAATGGTAAATGAAAACATCAACAACAGCCTCGCAGATACAATATTCGTTTTATTGAAAATGTAGGGGATAGGGAAGACCTTGCGGGAAGAAAGGTGCTGAAGACGGATGAATGACAAATTCAGTCAAATATATAAAAATCCACTATTTTGTGGATATACATGGAGACGCTTAATAATGCCTGCCTGCTAACGCAAATATATAGGGTGTCAAAGAAATAAACATCATTTT